ACAGTGTATTACAAGAAAAATTAATGCTGAGTACCACCACACGTCAAAATGAGGATTTTGCAGCTGGTGCAGATCGAATTTTAATCACAAATTTAACAGTTTTGCCTTTTATAAGACTTAAGGGCAACACCATAAGTCTTGCCCTCAATTTTAAGCCCCTGAAATTTAAGTTCAGCCTTAAACGCGCCAGTTTTTGTCTTATTCGAAAGACCTACGCCTCGTTAGGTCCATAAACTTAGAGTCCTGTAAGCCTATGCCTTAAGCCTTCAAACCATAATCTTCGTCTTTAATGCTAATTTAATGGTAACTTGTACATTATTTGATAGTACAAACTAAAAGAAATGGGACGAAGAAGAGGCTTCTCGGAGCAAACGGGCGTACTGACAGATTTTGAAAATGTTAAGTTATCGAAAAGCCAAATTCAATAGTAGTCTGGAAAAAGAACGACTCCCTTCTTTTATCTGCTCAACTAGCTTTCTGCCTTGGTGGAATCTATGTATTCGCTGAATGCGGGGAGGAACTGCGTGAATAAGCAATGCGACCCACGAAAACTGAAAACCACGCTGCGATCATGCAACTAAAGCACCACTAATTTTGCTCAAAAATGCTCCACATTACTCACATTTCTTCTCTGTTGCGCAGTACCGATATTCCACAGTTGCTGCATCTACGCGCTCCACCGATTCGTCATTCGGAAGCGAGTGCGCCGATCCCAGCAGATACATGCTAGCTGCCAGGTCACCACTGCTTACTACACGCAATAACGATGTATAGCCATCGGCGTCTCGCTCATTCAAAATTTTCTGAAAACGAGGAAGAAAAATTAGACGCTGACAACTACGGGAAAAAAAAAATAATGGCGGAAATCCTATACGAAAATACGGTTGTTTTTTTTTTGTGTAAGCTATGAATATTACAAAAACAAAAAAAATGATGATTCACGTGAAGAATGCGGTATTCCTTGGCAGCCTCAATAACAGTCATCAGCAGTTTATTGGTAATATGATAAGTTTCCGAACCAACGACAATGCTGGTAACCGGGCTCGAAAAGCTACCATCTGCTTCAAGCGCATATCTTAAAACGCTGAATTTTCTCGCTGACTTTGCCTCCTGAAATTGATATC